TAGATTAATAAATCCATAGTAACTAAATCAGCCTTTTAAAAACAAACCAGGACATCTTGATTCAAATCCAAACAAACACCGGAATCTCATGCACAGATATGTCTCTTCAGTGGTGTATCAGAAATCAAATGGGCTACTTAGGCTCCCATCGCATTACATATACCTCTCACCTCAGTGTATCGTGTATACTGTGCTGTGAAAGAAACACCAGATTTTACAGTGCCTGCATATAAGAAGTTACCAGTGCAAAACAGCAAAGTCAAAGAGAAAACTACCTGCAGGAGCACTTAAATACTGATATATGTTCAGGTTATGAATGTTAAAATTACAAACCCCCTCTTAATTATCCATACAAAAAGTAGCAGCACTGCAAAAGAAAAATAAGCACAGAAATTTTCAGCTTACAGTGTATTTATAGCAATGAAATACAGACAAAAGGAATCAAGACATGGAAATAGAAATACCTGTTCAGAATACACAGATTTTAAAGCAATGTGCAAGTAAACAAGCTTTTCAAATCTGTCAAGCTAGGAATTGTTGTATTAAGCCTACACAGCTCCCTTTGCAAAGCTCACCGGAGTGACCACATATCCAGAGAACGGACAGAAAGCTTGTCATTTCAGAGGACTGTATGTCAAACTTGGACGCTGCTGTTAAACTATCATACCCAAGCTAGGTGAAAAAGTACCCAGATGGCTTAGGCTAGCTGTACGAGCATTCCAAACCCAAACCCAATACATCGTATTGTGTCATACCCTACACGCTACTGCTTTCAGTCAACTACACCGTGAGCTTACCTTTATTTACAAGTGTTAGGGTGTTTGTTTCTTAACAAAGATTGTCTGTGAAAGAAACCCAATTAAACATTGTCTCTAACCACTAGGTGTCAGCAGAAGAAAGTGCACAGCCAACATCTTTGATATAGAAAATATCTCATTCTCCCCCTCTGTCACCAAGATGCAAACTATTAAGTACTACAAACCACCTTTACACGCACATCGCAATTATACAGCTATTTCTGTTGAAGATATCCTAATTTTGTGAATTAAATATTTAGATGATGATAAAAACATTCCCTCTGCAAACAGTAAAAAAATCAGGAATTTTAAAAAAAGGGCATTCAAGTGAACAAAATGCTCCCATTGGTGTCACTGTTAAAAATTTAAGTAATATTCATAAAGATAAAAATCCGCCTCAATACAGCCAAGTAAACACACTGCTTCTAATGTGTTTTACTGTACTTAATAGCAACAGAGGTTTGTGGAGACTGTAAGTACACCACATATAACAGGTACTCTTTCATACTTGAAATCTGGCTTAATGCAACTACAGAAAACACATATATACAGTAGGAAACATAAGCAAATTAGTTACTTTGTTACATAAATCTTATGATTAAACTTGCAGACTGTATTATCTGGTTATGTTTTTTCATGCAAAATTTCTAGTTACTGAAGTCCTCAGAAAGTTTATGGCAACAGTAACTCATTCATTGTCGGCGTAGTGGTTTGTACATACATTACATAACCTTGTATCTTTGGAGTAAAAGCTTCTGCACAGACTAACTCTTACTATGCTTAAGTATAATGTGAATTTAAAGTCTGCTCTGTCACACATTCTGGGCCTACAGAGAATAATGAAAAACCGCTTCACACCATTTATCCCCAAAAGTCAACTCATACCAGATGAGATGGTCTATGAAATTAAATTGTCTTATGATACAAAAACTATGAAAGGAGGCAAAGCTACTGCTTTTTTGAATTTATTTCTTAATTATCAATAATTTCAAATGAACAGTCAGATTTCTTGAGTTATGGGACATCAAATGCAAAGAACTACTTCATGTTCAGTATGGCTTATGCCCCATATTTACAACAACCCACGAAGGTGATAAGAGAAAAAATAAACACACAATGGAAGTATTTGAAATATGTTCTTTTCCTAGAAGCTATTTCTTCCATTTGCTTTCGTATCTCTCAGACGTACCAAAATGATTTTATTTGAAACTGTTACACTAGAAACAGTTTCAAAATATTTTTTTCCAAACAGACATTACGATTTTAAAGCAAATTATGATATCCACTGTGGTCTTTGTGGATTCTAATACATCAATGGAGAGCAATCAAAGGGTTACTGCATATACTTTAATATTCTTCCACTATTCAACAAGAAACTCCCGTCATTCCGTATTTATATAAGAAGACGTGTATCATGACCACTTTGAACACCTGTTCGTATATTATTCACAAAGTCAGTAAACTGAGCTAAGCAGCTGATGGGAAGTAACAACATAATTGGTGTGTAGAAGATGGAATTATGTGAGAGTACAGACAACTATTTCAAGTGCAGCATTCGAAGTACAGCACAACAGAGAAACATAGGGCTTTAAATTGCAGGATGCCTTACTAATTGCCAGTTACAATGCTTTGTTAATAAATTACAATCCCATTTTCTTTTGTTAACTTAGCACGTACATTTCCTAATTGTTTTACTCATTACATACTTTTGTTTGGAGTTTTCCTGCATCATCTTAGGATCAGGTTTTCTAAGGGTTTTGAACTAATTTTGAAGTGCGATGTGCCTAACAGTAACAAGAGTCTCAGTAATTGCATTCACTGTCGGCGTACTCTGAAATGGAAGTGAAGCATACAGTAGTTGTATGACCAGTCCAATACCTCATAGGATGTCTGTGGCAAAACTGGAAACAGAATGCAGGTCATTGGACTCTGACGTGTTCAGCGCATGAAACACAAATTTTCTTTATCTAAATCTTAATACTGAAATGTATAATCAGAAAATAAATTTCTAATTTATAAAAGGACTTGGGAAAGAAAGCCCTGAAAATTTCCACTGCCTGATTATTAAAATTGGATTTTATCACATATTCGTGCAATTACATTTACAAGTTTTCTCTGATGGAATGATAAGCAAATCAAACAATTTCTTCTACTTCCTCAGGTTCGCTGTCCCTCAAAGTTGCAGTTTCTAGGAGTGTGCCATTGTCAACTGATTTCAAATGCTCATCTTTAACATTCAGTCTTCAAACTACCAGATGGTATTTCCAGAAAAGTAATTTAAATTTTTATTTTTCATCATAAATCCCTTAACTAGTTAATCTCACGCACACATCCAGGCAAAGCATACACCAATATTCCCAGAGTTGCCTGGCAACTACTGGGAGGAGCATCGGAGAACAAGGAAGCCTGCACGGCTGAAGAGAAGTCAGCGTCTCCCAGACATGAAAAAAGGAGGGTTACAGCCAGAGTGCCTTGCTGGTTTCATTTTCATTATTTATACATTGAACATCTTAAATACCTCCCATTATTTCACCTTAGATGCTTTAAAAGCCCAGTACTTACACATCTAGACATACATAGACAAGTCAACACAATTTATTTTTTCCAGACACACGATACATGGATTCCCACAGTAAGATGTGGAAGAACTCATGCTGACTCAAAAGTCAGTTTTGAACCCTGAATATGAATCATTGGGATGATGCTTATTTGATGGTGATAACTGGACTATATACAATTCAGAATGATCTATTTTTTTCCTTCTGGCTTTAAAAATAACAAGAAAGACAAACTACAGTACTGAAGGGACTTTAGTTACAGAAATATCCCCAACCTCAAGAAACACTATGCCTGTAGTTCAACTTCTGGTCTTTTTGTTTAACATTGTGATTAAAATTAGATTTATTACTTGTCTGCATACCAGATCATTAATCTTCACAGAGCAGGAGGACGCAAAATACATCTTTTCTCAACCAGTAAGCCTCCATTCTCACTCCACTCATTTAGCCTGCCCACTTACACTCAGAACTCATCCTAGCATCTCCCAGTGGTATTCAAGCTTTCCATTGCTACCACTGATTTTCTGTTCTGCCTGCAAAGGCTTGCAGATGAGAGATGAAGGTATTAAGACAAAAGTATGTTTTGTCCTCTACAGACATCATCTTGTTAAGCAGCCATAGATCTAACTACAGTAGTTCCAATGAGCCCATGAACATCACGTTGAGATTCATCACTGCGTTTACCTTGCATATCTGTTAGTTTCCTCTCCTTTAGAAACAGGGAACATGAAATACTTTGGAAATATTCTGTGGATCACTCTGCAGTTAGTACTTTTCATCCCCCATATTTCCAGGACATATCTCATAAATTATACCTCCTTATACTATTTACCTTGTCTCTATCTATCAGCTAAATGTACACACTTTAAAAGGAACCCCCTAAGTACATGGTAGCAAAACCAGAGTGTCACAAAACATGTGGACATACACTAATTTGGCTGGACTGATTTCTACTGAAGTCCTTGAAGCTACTTGCAGTAAGCCAGGAACAGATGCCTCACTAGAAGCAATAAAACCCAAGATCAAGTACAGAAAAATCCTTCCCTTACTCAGATGGCACTCAATCATTGCTAAATAGAGATTAGCCCTGAACCAGAAGCAAGAGATTGAATTTCCATAACAGAACATTTATCGTCAATAGTTACAACTCCAGACATTCTTCATATTTTTCTAAAGGCACAATTTCTTTACTAATTGTATTATGTTCTTAAATTCCATGATTCCATAAATTTGTGTGTTTCAGTTAAGCATCTATTCTATAAAAAGTAGTATATCTTTTACCACCTTTAATAATAATACAAAGAATACCCAGGTTTTGCAGTGAGAGAAAATGGTCAACTCTGCACTAGCCTCCTATGATCATTAATTTATACTTTTTTATCATCTCTCTTCTAACTTAACTGTCTTCAAAACCAAGCAACACCCATACTTTTCCATAAGTTTTCTCCCTGTGTGATTGATCGTGCTTGTTGCATCTCTTTCTTTTTTTGGAGACTGGAACACTGTTTTCAGTACAGTAGTCAACCAAAGAGCCACAATGCCGATCTCAGTAAAAGGAGGTTATACTACACTTCAAATTCTTGTTAGCTTTCTTCCCCACCACTGCTATGGATTTACATCTTATGCTTACTAATTTCCTACTTACAGGTTCAATTTTCAAGGCATTTCTGTAGCTCCCAAAGAAAGATGCTTGTGCTTTTAGAAACGCCCTCGCAACACCATCTCCAGTGGTTGTAGAGACTTTCTTCAATCTGTTCTTCAGTGCAGAAACCTGAAATCACACAACAGGTCTAGATCACTCTCATATCACAAGCAAAGCTTAACACACTGGGGCACAGCTAAATGAAAAACGCACTAACCACAGCAGCAGTTGTGACAAAAGTGACATTGTGAATTCAGAGTTGAATTTTTCAGTTCTAAAAGCATTACTTTTCAAGCTGTTTTCTTCTCTAAGATATGACTGGATTCTATTCAGAAACCAACAGGAAAATAAAAGCTTCATTTCAACCTTCCCTCCTACTTAAAATCCGCTGTTATCATGCTGTTGAGTACACTTCTAAAGGTAGTCCATGAAGTTCTGTGTCATTTTTGATAAGAAATCTGAAAGAATTTCAGGTTAATTAATTCAAACATCAGACTAATAGAGAAACTGTTCTGCATAATCAGGCCATCCATCACCACCATGGGTAAGAACAAATTCTGTAGGTCTGAAAAATTTGTTTGCCACAAATACAAGGTTGGGTTTTTTGGTTTTTTTTTTCTTTTAAGGCTATATTCTCTTGTATTTTAGAGACTTAATGCAAAATAACAAAATGTGAGTTTTATTTCTGCACATGGTGGGTTCCCTTGGCTGGCTCCCATACACCCACCCAGCCGCTCTCTCACTCCCCCGCCTCAGCAGGACCAGGGAAGAAAACACGAAGTAAAAGCTCGTAGGCTGAGATAAAGACAGGGAGATCACTTACTAATTAGCAACATGGGCAAAACAGACTCCACTTCGGAAAATTAATTTAATTTATTGCCAATTAAGATAGAGTTGGATGGTGAGAAACAAAGAAACTACACTCCTTCCCTCCCGCACCCTTCTCCCCTCCATTCCCGACTCCTCTACCTCATCCCCTGAGCGGCACAGGGCAATGGCAATGGGGGGCAGCCAGCCCGTAACAGTTCCACTCTGCCGCCCCTTCCTCCTCACGTCCGCTCCCTCCTCACCCTGCCGCTTTGGCTCTTCCTCACACAGGCCTGCTCAGAGGCTCAGCAGGGCTCAGCTGGGCCCACCCTCTCCTCACAGAGGCCCTCAGCCCCCGCCAACACACCTCACCACAGACACTCAATGCAATCCAGAAAACAAAACCTGCAGGTTGTTTTTTAAAAGTCTCAAATTCATGGCAACATCCTGTCCTTCAAAATGGTCAATATCTACTGAAGGTTTCTTTTTTCCTCTTTCTCAAGAGATCTAGCCCACCTGTGAGCAGGATGGCTTTTCTCTGAACCCTCCCACTGAGGAGCTGTTTAATTCCCTCAGGATTCAGAGAGCTGCACTTTGGGCCAACACAGCCCTCATGGTCTCACTACCATTTACACAGAGATGCTTACTGATCACAACTCAGCAAGCAGCAACTAAACACATTTCTATGCAGGCAGAGTTAAAACTACCGCGATCCAGGTTACCTGAATATTCTGTTTTCTGTGCACACCAAGGGCTAAAGTTTTAGAGGATTATCCATTACTGTTCTCTGCGCTTCAGAATTTCTCATACATACAAGAAGGTTGTGACTTAGTTTGATGTCTCTTTTCTAGTCCTTAGAGCTCAGTAACTACTGAAGTAAGGTTGTGTATCTATATATTATTGTTAGTGACAGTGTTTTTCTTTCCCAAACACAAGCAGGGAAAGGAGATAAAAAAATCTTTCAAAGATTAACGTCGAGCTTCCTGTGCTGTGCTACAACGGTTATAGGTTATGTTAAATCATTAACAAATAGTTATGTCAGTCATAATTTTTTGGTGCTGCAGACAGAACCAGGACAAGGTAAGCTTTTGAGACAGATCTCACACAACACATCGCAACACAAACGCAACAATCTGGGCGCCGAATCTTGAAAGAAATTCCACTAGTGTCTTTAGAGAATGCGGATATGCCACACGTAAAACCTGAGTTTGATGAGATATCTTACGCAGAAGACGGGAAGGGGCCACGATTCCAGAAGGAAAGCAGAAAGCCAAGAAATCTCTAGTCATCTTGATTTGCAGAAGAACATGAATGACTCCATAAATATCCATGTTATGAATTTAACAGAAATAATTCTAGCAATAACTAGCAAATCTTACTTTTTCAAATGCTATTCCGAACAACTCCATCAGGGTAGCTCTATATACATAGAAACATTGTAGGAATACTATTTACACAGTAAGCAGATTTTGTTGTAGTGAATATAACTGTGTTTTCTGAGAGTATGAATAGTATCTCATCAAGTATAACCTGATGGCTCAGATGTTCACATTAACTTTCAAGACCTTCCCCCCACCCTCCAGCTTATAACAAAAGCTTATTCTGGCCTCATTCATATCTCCAGATTCCTACCAGATGAGTTGAGTTTTTTCTGCCTCGGGGTTTGCTACCAGCCTGCCTTCGTAGCAAATGGCAGGCTGATTTTACTGAACAACTGTTCTTGAGTGCTTCAGTTCTATCCTCCTGGAACACATCCCTCACTTCCTCTGTCAGCAGTCTCAGATTTGGGGAGGGCAGGGAAGTGACTCCTCATTTTGCCACATAGGTGTTAAATATATAATCCACACTGTGCACTACATTTTATTCTTTTAAAACTAGATGTTATATTTGCACTCATGTTTACCAAAACAGTTGCAAAGAGATTTCCTTTTACTTTAAATTTTCTGCAGCTTCTGTTGTAGAAGGAATTTCATTAGTTATTTAGTATAAGAGCGCGTCCAGCATTGTTTATAAATCTGAATGCTGTGGTTGTGCCAATGATCCCTGCATTAATGAGCTCATGAGCACATATTAACATAATACATGATAACAGATTTAGTCTATCATGCCCATAAAATAAGCTCACTCCTATTCAATGAGATAATGTCTCTCAAGGAGCTCTGTTATTCTCAAAATGTAAAAGCTTCATCAGATTTTCAAACCCAAACAGGACACTTCTCCATGTTTGAAGGGGTCTGATGCTGTAGGGATGAAGTATGTGTGTATTTCCTATATTAACTTATGCAAACCATTTAAAGGTAGTTCTTAAAAATCGAATAAAATGTCTATAAGCTCTGAGTAACTTCCAAATCCATCTCAAACATTTTTATAAAGTGGTTTTCTTCAAACAATCATGTGAAGATAAAAAAACTTGCCATCTATACAGAAGGAAAAGGCTCTATGCTTTGTTTTACAACAAACTGAAAGTTCAGGAGGGTAGTCACAGCCTTTCTGTGTTTCAGTTTCCCTATTTGGTATAGAAGTAGAATATTGACAGGTATTTGGCTAATTCCTTAAGCTTTCAGATCATTTGCTCTCTTCTAAGGCTAAATTGAACACCATAGAATGTCTATTTTGTATACGCACACTTTTACTCTTTCAGACTATTGCAATAGGTATGTCCCAGTTTTTAAAAAAATGTTAACAACAGCATATTTAAAGAGACTAACAAGTAAGAAAAAAAAAATCATGTTTACTCTGGAATAAATTAGTACACAAGACAAAGTAGATTATACAAGCAGAGTTATGGTTGTTTCCTGCCTACACAGGCAGTAATACTTTAAAAAAATAAGACTATGACCACTCAATATAAGATTATTTCTAGCCAAACAGACACATATACATGCAGTCTACCCTGAGAGTGTTTTTAAAGAAGATTTTTATACTTCTGGCAGTTCAGGTTTAAAGGTCAGATTTAAACTATCACCATGTTTCAAAATGCAATCTGTGCAATGCAGCATAATGAAATGGTTCAGTAAAGGTGCTAGTGGAAATTCTTTTAATTAGGTCCAAGGCTTTTCAGTTGTCAACATGAATAAAGCAAGAAACATTCTATTGCAAACACAGTGTAAGAAATAAAAATGGATTCACCTTTAAGAAAATGGTTCTGCTATAGAGTTGTAGTTTAGTACTTCTTGCTGTCCTGAAAGCAGTCAATTTCCCACTAAGTGAAAAACAGTAACACAGGATTCCTACTTGTGGTAACTTGTTAATGAATGGGCAACAGTAGGATACACAACTAAATTACTGACAGCCAAAGATATTCATAGGCTAGTGCAAATTTACAATACTATCACAGCCATCAGATATGCAAGATCTCTTTGGCGCACTACACTGCATTGCATCAGGGCTTCATTTAATAAAAACTACAAGATGACAGAGCGAGCTTATGCTTTATTCCTTGTAATATGAAGCTCTGACTACAACCAAGACTAGAAGATGACACTTATTTGGAAATACATGAAAAATCCATAAGGGTTGCATAAAAAAAAATTACTACCCCCTCTTTGCTATTCCTTGCAACACAGACGGTGGTGTAGGAGACTTGTCAGCAGCAGATGCACTTATTGTAATCACAGTCCTTAATAAATCGCTTTTTTTAATATTGATTATTTTAAAAGGAAAGTTACTTCCCAGGGCGTTCTCATGCTGCCAGATTTTCAGCAACACATAAGAAGCAGAAGGTGAAAGAGGGATAGTTTTTCACATTCCAAATAGTTAATCAGTAACGCAGTAGTACACACCTTGATTTTCAGGGATCTGACTTGAGCAATTCAGGAACTGACTGCTAGCGGGTACTGCCAAGGTAAAGGGCAGGGCAAAGAAATGACTTAATCTGATTCTGCTGGAACTGACTCAACGCTTTCCAGTTCCTGTGACACAAATGTTAACTGGAAAGGCATTTCACTGTAGCCTATATTCATTTGGATCCTAGGAGTAAAAGATTAGTGAACAGTTCATTTTAGATTCCTGAGAATCAACAGTTTAGGTAGCAACATCACTGTTATGAAACTCAAGCACGACTCGCTACCTGAAGCTCTAAAATAATCATAGGACTTCATGGCATTGTTTTACATGATTAAAAAAGCTGTTTAAGGAGACGGGGAAAATAGCTTTAAAATTTTTCCACTGGATTAATTACCTGACGGAGAATGCATCACACACAAGACGTTTCTCCTCATTGTTGAATATAGATAGATTTAATTTAGAAAAGTAAATTCTGCGTCTATTCAGCAGCGCATGATCTGCTCACTGTTCACATTAAGTAGCAAAACTGGCAGAATAGTTTGACATAAGAGCCATTTATGATCATGAAACTGTTGAAGACATTTTCAGTTTCTCAGATCATAAATGCATGTATTTGGCCTGAGACCAGTGGGGAGACACACTCCCAGCATCTCCCCATCCTTCTAAGGAAGCGAAAAAACAAACAAAAAAAACCTAGAAAAAAAAAAAGTATAATGGATTGGCTTTAGAGTCTCCCTGCTGAGATGAACAACTTGATCCACTTACAGTTCCAAACACATGATGCATGAAAGAACTGACAGAAATTCAATTCTTGCAAAGAAGAGCAGCTGCTCTCTAGTGGTCAAAGCCAAATATTAAGCAGTGTGAAGGAAAGGAAAAGACCTAGAGGAGAATACTTCATTATCTAGGTAACTAAAATAATGAAACAAAGCTAAATAAGACATAAACACCGATCCCAAACACTAATTACACAATGCAACATGATTCAAGTTAAGGCTTTGTTGCGACAAATATTAATCCCAGCTGTATTTATATAGCAGTTGTGAAAAAAAATAAAATAATAAAAAAAAATACACCATGTACGCTATTTGTGAGCCATGCCAGTTAATTGAATTTGCTGGCAGCACTTCCTCTGCTATGCTCCAAACATCCTCCAAGATAAAATGTAGCTTTTAAATAGACCTGTGGAAAACTGAATCAAGAAATTTGAACTAATAAAACACAACTCTCTACTGTTATAAAAGTGAAGTAAAAGTAAATAATGAAAGGAAGGAAGTCTCTTAAAATTTATTACATTCCAAAGCTTGAAGTTCTGTGTTTATTGGTGAAGTCTCTTCTGATGTTCTACAGTGCGCCTACAACAGCTCCTTTAATGAAGTCTCATAAAATCTAATATAATACTTGATTGTTGACAAATCATATACATGTTTGAGGCCCCGCGCTCACCGTATCCAGACCTTCTTATATAATTCCATCAAATTTACAAGTCTGACATTCCCCCGGTTGGGGATAATGGCACGAGCGATGACCAGCTGGCAGGTTTGGATGCTGGGAGTGAAAGCAAAATGAAAAACTATATAAAGCCAGAAAAATTAATGGAAGTAACTTTTATAGACTAAATGCTTGACTAAAGCCAAAATGTTCACAATCAAGATGGACCTTTTATCCAGAGCTCACTGTCTTCGAAGAATGGATCACACCCCAGATGATAGAGAAATGATGGGATGTCACAGTAGGCGGCATCAGGTATTCACTATTACTTGAGTTTTTCCTCAAACAGACCAGCTTATATTGAGCTCCCTGCATATCAATTTTATTTCTCAACTGCACATAAAAAGGTATAGATCTAACTGTCAGCACAATATTTTGAACTAGTAAAAGAAATCCAGATTTTCTCCTGCTGTTTTCTCCTAAACAGTCACCCTCTGACTCAAAAATAGCTTCTTACACTCTTACTCACTTTTCTGCTCTTCCCTTTCAGCTTCTTTAATGAAGATGATTACAGCAGCAAGCTGGATGTATTTTTGTCCCATTAAAGGGAAAGATCAAGTATTTATACAACATCTCTACCAAGTTATTAAAAAATAAATAAATTACCAATAAAAAGTTTGAGTGAGAAAGAAAATAAGTTCCAAATTATATATACTGAGCAGTGCTGGAAGTGAATAGGAAGTAGTCACTTTGATATCATAAGTCAGGATATGAAATGCGCAAAGTTCATTAAAGCTCACCTGGAAGAAGTCACAGGAAAAAACCCACACAATTTCATTTGGAAACAAAAGTTATCTAAAAAAATGCAGGGTTTTTTTCCTAATGGAATGGATAAAGATGGTTTCAAATAGTCGTACTTTTTCACACCATGAAGAAAGGAGTTTGAATTTTTGTTTCCTGTTAGATGTACCATAACCTGTGTGTTTTTCTTTCGTCTTTGTTACCCATAAAAGACTAACTCTTTAGATGACCTGGAACCTGGCCGTGCCATTCCAAAACTAAAACTGGGTTGCTGCAGCATTTCTAGCTTAGGGGAGCATTAGTTAGTTTTCATTAGGAGGCTTAAAAATATGTCTGCAAATGTTCAAATAAATGTTGCTTAACACTTCAAAACAGGAAAGAACTGAGGTAAAGCAGTTTACTTATAATAACGAGAGTTACACAATGAGACAGCTCAGTTACAAAGTGAACAGGTCAAAGGGATTTACACTTTTAAGTAATGGAAGAGTTGAATAAATCATTTCATACATACCACATCGTTAGGAAGGCTCTGAAGGTCATCAAAAGGGGTTTCCAGTGTGTTGGTGTCTACATTAAGAATCACTACATCTTCCAGGGCCATGTTTCGTACTTTCTAAATATGAGCAAATTCAAGAAAAAGGAAAGGAAAATATAAGTATGAGGAGTTAAAGTTTATGCATAAAGGACACGAGAGATGGCATAACATCATGGCATTGCAAAACTTCAAGCATTTTAATAACAACCAACATTCCTGTCTTTCTGTCGTAATTTGTTTTATTTATTCACATTTTACAAGGTTGAAAAATTAACCTTCAGTTTGCAGAGGCAGGTTCTTCACAGTGCGCATACTGAAATTTTTGAAACCAGATAGTTACTGTTTGAGATTATTCAAGCAAAGATTTATTTCAAGCACCTCTACTAACGTTTGCCTTAATTCTGGTATCCTGTTTGCACATTTAGCAGTGTCTAGCTGAGTCAAGATTTCAAGGGTATCTTTTTATATTTAGAAATTCATTTAAATAACAATAAATAGTGGCTTTTCTAGGAGTTAAGACTTGCAGTAAGTCAGGGATGGGAACTGGTTCCCAAATTCCAGGTTGAATTTTGCAACTCCAATAAATATAGTTGTAAACTTGTCTGTAAGTAAAATGGACATTACCAGAGGTTAAGGAATAAATAATTAAAATGAAAAAAAGACTAAGAGAAAAATAACTCCATCACATCCCGGTCTCTTAATGTTCAGCAAGTCTAAACTTTTTATCCTGCTCCCATGAATTGAGAGAAAGAAATGTGTCTAATCTAGTTTGAGTGATTACATCATCTGTAAGAGTCCACGGGCATACAAAAAAAAAAAGCATCACCTATATCTCAAAACAACGCTCATTAGTACCCTTGACTTTAAGGGTCTAAAGGTATTGGTGATCTAAGCGAATTTAAATATTGTCAGGTGTTATTCCTCTGCTTAAACAACAGTAAATGACTCATTGATATGAAATAGCAGCATTTAATATTTATTTTAACACTTTTTCCACTAACAAGATAATTGATTTTTTTTTTTCGAATGAGTAATCATACATCTTTAAGCCCTCTTCAAATACAGCTTTGAAAATTCAAAATCAGAAAAAGTAGAACTATAGAATACAGTAGTTAAGGAAATTTGCCAATGACAGTGTAAACGAACGTTTAAGTACCTACATAACTATACAGAGGACCCAATGCAAGTTACTGAGGAGGAAAATGAATAAAAACACACTCAATTTTTAATTAAGGTTTTGCGGGGGGGGGGGATTGTTTCCTTTAAAAGAAAGGAACTGAAGCTCTAAAACAATGGCAAAGTTGAGCCTTAGGCATCTAAATAATTACCTTCAGTTTTCAAGGCTCAGTCCTCTGTCTATAAAGAAAACTGCTGTGTACTTGGGGGGGGGAAGGGGAAGCCAACAACTATAAAAAACACTTTGTAGACATTTAAGTTTAGGTCTTCCATGAGCAATTTCTTTAACTTAAATGGAAGAATATTACATTTAAGGCTTTCCATATAAAAAGCACAAGTACTGCATGACAAACCAGGTACTTTCCTCTACATTTCAGGAACCAAAGGTCACTCTGTTGGCTGCATCTGATAAACTCTAAAGCAATCCAGGAGTCTTGCTCCTTCTAGGAGTCCGGAAGCACCAGACAAACTGATTTGCTCCTTCCTGTTTCAGAAAATTAAAAATCTCACTTATACTCAGAGGAGTCTAAAAAGCTCCAACAAAAAGGTCTTGCAACGTACTTAACCAAAGCCAGAAGCTTGTCAAATTCGAGTGCTAGTAGGACAAGACAGAAGGAATTAAAACCTTCTCTTGATTCTTGCCAAAGAAGCAACAAACATGTGCTTCAACTTGTCAATGGGTGGTTTTGTAACTTTGGTGATGAATCTGTACCTTTCCTTCAGCAAAATCTTGGGGGTTTCTGTAGCAAAGAATAGGCTTGCGACAAGCAGCTATCTGCCAAGGAGTATAGTACTAAAGGATGTTGCTTACGGTGCAAGGCTATAAATGCTGATCAACATCATAATCTCCATGCGTGGGCCAGAAATAATAGTATCTGAAAGGGAGGCTAACATTAAACTTTGCTGTGCTATACCTTTACAGTGTGAAGAGCACAACCCTACTTTAAAACTTCTCAATATTCGTATTAAGACAGTGGATTTCCCTGGAGACAAACCCTCAAATTTAATAAAACACTTGAGACTAACTTGATTTATAGCATCTGTCTTGCAATGCATTTTGAAAAATAGAATTTTTCAATGGTCCAATTGTGGATCATCCTAGAGAAATGCAGACTGACCAGTTCATCCTAATCTTTATCTGTTTTTATCATCCTTCCTTTCACTATAATCTTTGCTAGGGGTATTATCAGATAGCTATAAGGGCTTTTGTCAAATAATCAAATGGTTCTTTTGCTAAATGTAGTACCTATCAGCCCAACTGACCTGGAAATAAAAGCATTTACTCTGTTGTTGGAAAATCCCCAGCATCCAACTGCATTGCTCACATTAAATCCCACTGGATTCTATGAATTGCAATTACATGTAGATCATTTTCACAGGTACAGTTTGCGTGTTGTCATAATTTTCTCAAAATACAAACGGACAGCCACGAAGCCATATACTGTTGTGTTGTGTATTTCACAACTTCCTGAATATCTAAACAAAATTTTACAAATAAAGTGATAGCTGTTAAAGAGAATGGACTATATTCAGTATGTTTATATTTTGCTGAAAAAAAATGTGGGAAAGCAAAGAACAAGAGGAAATATGAACATTGCTGTTTCCTTTTCTAAGTTTACTACAGACTAGGGATTTGCTGAGTCAAAAGTGATTCAGTGAAAATGTGCATCATATAGCACTACTGCAAACCTTTCTTAACCATCCTTACTGAATTACCTATAGCCATAATTAATCATCTAAAAACCATCAAATTGAACTAGCATGTACACCTGCCTTTTATTTTAAATGTCTCTTTTTAAAAGAGTGGAGAGGTATGGAAAGCTGGTTTAACAAGCACACTGAACCATTGTTTATGGCCTCTATAAACATGGCTTAGTAAGAATTACTGACTTAATCAGACAGAACTTATCTCCTGGTGAAAAGAGCACTTTAAATTTCAGAAATGGCACCTTTACTGTGAAAATCTCTTAACTTTTCAAACAAACTCCAGGGGGCCTTAAACACCAGGTCAGTAAATAAGCAGCAGTTAGTGCGTCTGTCCTGCTCACAAGCAGCCAAACACTTGAAGTAATTTAAATGTTTTATATGAAAGTTCGCAAAAACACCGAGAAACTATATTCTAATAGAAGTATTACGGGGTGCTCCTCTGTCTCACTCAGATCACATGCTAGAAGCAATATTCATCAATAATACTAACACCAGTTTATACTAGATGTTATTTTATTATCACTGTCCACAGCTGGCAGTTTTTGCATTTCCTACCATAAAAAAATCCTAAGTTAAACTTCTGTCAGATGGACAACTTTATTGAATAGCTCGTTTAAAAAAAAAACCAAAAAACTACCAAAACACCAACACCCTCCTTCCCCCCCCCCTCAAAAAAACACAACCAAACCAGGTTTGCATAACTTCAGGGCTAAATTGGTGCCAAAACATAAACTAAGTTGATCATGAGGTTCCATAACCAGATACAAATGTGATCAACATAATAAAAAAATGTTCCAACAGAAAAAACAAAATATACCTTGCACTAATTCTTTTGGAAAAGTAAAACTCTTAACGAAATCTAACAGTTTTAGTAGCTAGTTTGTACATTATATTTGAAATTATTAAGGAAGTATGATTCACAACCAGTCTAAAATCCATTTGCTTAATGACTTAGCTAATAGTTTCCATTTATTTTCTTAAGAAAAACACCACAACACTGCAGACAACAATGTGTCAATCTGGCTGCCAGAAGCAGGAAAGGCAACGGATATAAAATTTTATTATTTCATGCCCCAACAGCAGCCAGAAGGACTTAATGAAATCACCCTTAGATTTACAATCTGAACTAGCTATTCCACAGACAAACCTGGTTAAGCTGGATGTGCCCCCTGACCTCCCAACCCTTTGATCTGGGCTCAGCAGGTGGGCTGCTGCCCCCCGCGCATCTCCCACCCTTCCGCCCTCTCCCCCCCTTGACGTGCGGACCCTGAGCCTCTACAGGTGACTCTCAGGATCCTTATCACAAGCAGCTGCTGCCAACTGAGTGACAAACATCACTAGTGCTGGTCTAACACTGTGGTACAGAGCAGAAAAAAACCTTCTACACTTACTAGCAAGTCTACTTGGTACTGCAGTATTTGGGTTTCATAAAACTTACCCCTCAAAATCCTCACACACAGAATCTCTTATTAAAACACAGTTGTTATTTTCATTTTCCCAACAATTGGATAAAAGATAATTCCATAAGTAGTTTGTCATATTTTTAAATGCATTTTTATCGATACTCCTGAAATCACGTACAGCCATATTTACAATATTTGTGACTAAATTACATTTAGTTTTAAGACCTGGATTTAAGATCATATATATAACTCCTTCATTTAAACCTTACACAAAAGCTACGCTTCTTCAGTTACAGCTAGAAAAGGCAGTGATTTACTAAGTATAAATGGATGGAAAAAAGCAAAATACTACTCCTCACCCCATTCGAAAAAGGTAATTAACAATTAACACTACCACTGGAAGATGCCAGCGGTCAATGAATTCTCAGGGAGTCTTCCGCGGCAAGGGGAAACCACGTGGCGCTGCCAGGACTAAGCCCAAGCTGATGTAACCTGTTCCTCAGAGTTCGTTAGCTCAGACTCCGTGCATGCAAACCGGCGTATTATCAGGCTGGATCACAAGCACAGCATCCTCACAGCTACCTGAAAAGACCAGGTAAACATGCCAGCAAGTGCTTCCAGAACACGTGCGTGGGGTTCAGAAGACTTTCCATTGCGCCATCCATCACTACCAACATTACCTGAGATCAGCTGCTGTGTCCTACCGTGTCAAACACAGCACAAATTTTAGTGACCCTTCTTTTCCTAACATGAACATATTTACTCATACCAGGTTAAAATAAAACAAAAATCTGCTCCTATAGGTTTTATGAAATGCACAACCATCCTTTATGCTTAGGAAAAAGGTTATAAAATCATTCTGATAAATGCAACGTGGAGTTTCGCACACAAATTCATTCTGGATAATCCTGCAAGAATTAAAATTCTGAAGTCCCAGAAAAAGTCCTCGAGTGACTGGGATATTAAAAAAAGGATAAGAAATACTTATCTAATATTACTTTAACTCTAAAGGTTGGTTCCGTGCCGCAAGCAGAGCGTGGTGAGGGTGGGCATTACTGTGGCACAGAAGAGCACGCTGCCAGCAGCTCAGTATCTGACAGCTAAACAGAACTATCCCCACTGGCTGATCAAAACCACATGGGCCCAAATTCCACTCGGCAGTCTACTAGGTCAAGGGCATTCCTTTTCCATCAGCGCCATCACACTAATAACCTTTGCTGCAGAAACAGTTGCTGAAACACTCGTTTACTATGACAAAATGTAAAGGGCTGCCAGCTAAGTTTGACACCACTTATAACACAAAGGTCAATTTAATATCATTTGAACACTAAAATTGCATACAGTACGCGGGTAGAAAATAAAACAAGATTATGAAAGGGACGTGTTCATTTGGTAGAGTTGCATTTTCCTATCTCATTATTTATCAGTACTAAGTACTTATCTTCATCTAATATGAATTCAATTAGTTCCGTAAGCAAGTTCCATTATTCATGTGATAGCTCCAGCCTTGCTTATCCAACAGCTTATAAACTTTTAGCCTTCTTTGAAGTCACTTTATGGATTGCTAAATGGAAATCTTATAAAGAATGACTAAATAGGTGATGATAGAAAAGCTGAAAAATAAGAGCACAAAACACAGCTCTATATTTTCGACCAAGATTTTCCCTCATAAATCAGCTGGAGCCCTCTGACCTATAACAGGAGATTATCTTATCTCACTGGAGAACATTTCAGTCACAGCAAATTAGATTTAACAGTCAATGGATATGCTTGATATTTTAATCATAAGAAAAATTTGTCATTTTCCATTAAAATAACTGCTCCTTCTACAGAGACCCTGTGTAACGGGGGAAACTGCAAACTAACTTTAAGATACACAATGGTTTGGAAAAAATCTTCCAAGGTGAGAGAAATGGTGTATTTTGTTTAAAATCATTAACACTTCTGCTATACTTCTTCCAGAGGACCCATTGCAAGATAGGGATAGCAAAACCCCACAGAAACAGCACTAAACCTAGAAATTCTATTTTTTCCTGCATTCCAAAGTCACCCTCCCCTTTACACCACTGTTTGCTCTGCACAAGTGTAGGCTTCCACTAACGTTTATGCAACAATGACAAATTCTGCAATCGGAGCTGCTGGAGCAGAACCGTGAGCCTATATATAACTGCAATTACTCCCGTGGGGCTCTACAGTAGATAAAGAGTCCACCTGTCTGAACTTCAATAGAAGACTGGGGAATTAATCCCTTATCCTGAAACTAGAACAAGTGGATTAACAAAACCTTTCAAAGATCTGTTTGCTGAAATTTCAGCATGCGATGAAAAATGAATACTGGGTAGTGACAGCAGTTTTTACTTGTAGTTCATAAAATTATTTTGATATGGAAAAATTAATACATTGTCTTCTTAAAAATACACAACTGCAAAATCATGAGAAAAAGCATTGTTGCTAAGTTGTTATTCTAACAAATAAAACATACAATTTTATACCTAGATGTGAAGAAAAGGACAAAGAAAGTAATCTTTCAGCATCAGCAACAGGCAAAGATGTAAACTCGTAACTGTCTAACTCGTTTGACAAATGTCACCTTTCCTTTGCCCAAGGCACAGAGAAATTACGTGATACTTGCCAACAAACAGACACAATAGCCCACTGTGTGATTTTATTTTATTTTTCAATGGAAAAAAGCACAGTTAGCTGGAAGATGCAATTCTATCTGGAAGTATTCGATTTATCCTTAAGAGCAGAGGGAGGAGAGAAGACAGTTTGTTTCATTTATTTAATTTATTTCATAAGGCACTTTGAATAACTGTACTTTGCCAAAGTGTGTCTGGTTCCAGAATCTCCGGCTATTCAAAAGCCATACTGGATTTAGTACTAAACAGATTTTTTCGCAAGTTACTAAAATGGATGAAAATTGGCTTCTCCAAGAACAACTCCTTTTTCTGAGTTTTTACAGATGGAGTTTGGAAGGCCTACAGAGCCCTGCAATCTGAAAAGCTGAGACAAAGGAAGAGGTAAGGGGTTTACGTAGCAAGGCAGGAGTGAGACATCATGCAAAGCAACTCCAAGGTGTAATTATTAATTAATTTTTTTCTATACCCATTGCCAGGCTAACCATGTAGCTCCTTCTGAGAAAAAATACTTGTGAAAACTGACAAGTATCTGCATGAAGATATTATTCCGTCCTCTACCAGGTCTCTTCCTCCTTTTTCAAATAGATAAGATACCATAATAAGCACGATTACCTGGTACAATGATTACCTGGTACAGATACAGGGCAGAAAATTTCTTGATCAACATGAAAAATATGTGCTTGGCTATTTCTTTCTAGATATTACTTCAGTCCTGTCTGCGCAGTATTGAAGGATAATTATCAGAAACCCCTCTAACATAAGCATATGATATGCAAACAAATGTACATGTTGACTTTTAAAATAATTGCTTATTCACTAACACATTGTACTGCAATTCTGTACTTTATTTAGCAATATAAAGGGCATAAAAAAAATCATCTGTACCCAGGATGGTAAGGGAAAAAAAAAGAAACAAAGATCCTGCATATTCCATCTAGCTTCTCATGAAAAAAGTAACTTCTAAAAGTATTTCACATTAACACTGGAAAAAGGGAGAAGCTCCATAGCATACTAGTCTAAGTTTTAAGACAGACATAGAAGATCATTATTGCATACAAATATCCTAGTGAAAGAACGTGTTTGATCAATATTTCCAGAGAAATTACACATTTTTATGGATGCTATAAGAACAAATATTCTAGTAATACGCATTATTTTACGTGATGTAACACTCAGCTTTGTAAGCTGTTATGTACCCTAAACACCGAGCCTGCATCCCCAAACACAGGTATCTAAACCAGGGACACACGTCAATTAACTTCCAAGGGCATTTGCGACTCCCCCTCATTCCACGCTGCCTGCTAACTGAAGAGCCCACACAGAGGCGATGCTTTTTGGGCAGGAATACCTCCTCCCACATGGAGCATACACGTTGTTCAGCCTTCCTGTGTAAAGGGGCACAATTAATAAGGACTAGGATTTTCATAGTGATCTAAATTAGTAGCTTATGTTGTCCTCCAGATACTTTTGAGGAAAGCCATCAACTGTTTCACCAGTACTGGAACCAAAAGCAAATGTGCTATTTCCACTTTTAGAGTTTTTTAAAAGTCACATGAATTACTCTGAATTGTTTATATGTGAAGCTTTCTGTGAGGGCTGGTTTTCTGCCAGCTTTGTGTTAACATTAACAGCAAGTTCCTTCTTTTCAGATCTTTTGAACATTAAAAAAATTACAATCTGTCTGCAAAAGCCTAAAAGAGAACTGTAACTGTCAACATTTTGGTTTAATATCGACTCTGCCTTTGTGAATACAGAGTCGAACTAAGGCAGTAAGCTGATTAACTGAAGCAACAGGATGGAGAGGGGAACACGATGTGAGCTCGAGCTCGCCACTGACTGCTGAAATGCAAACAGAAAGCCTGCCCAAAGGGTACGAGGCGTCAAATAAGCCTCCCTTAAGATTTAACATCACCACGTATGCTTAACTTCAATTCTCTCAGCACTCCCAAATTAACGGGATTAGTTCATTTTTAAGCATATGAATAAATGTGTAATTGCTTGCAGAATTTGGCTCTAAATCATAAAACTATATATATTTTCAGAAATGGTGAGAAAGACTTACCTCCATCAAACTTAAATGTATTCCAATGAGGTAGGGCATCGGGGCACTGCAAAGAGGAAAAAACCCAGCTTTACATTCTCATAACACTGGATTAACACATATGACTTATAAAATTAGCCACAGGAAAATACTGGATACTGGATTAGATTTTGCTTTAAAAAAAATAATATAAACAAACCGCATGTGAAGAAAATGTTATCCCATATTTGAAAGACTTTTTTTTACAATGCAATATCCTCTCACCACTGTAAGACTAATTTTTCTTGACATCAGAGTTTGTAAGTGACTAAGTTAAGACAGATACATAAGGCCAGCTATAAATATATCTATAATACTGGGGTCTTTTAAAAACAAAACAAAATGTGTTATTATAATTTTCCAAAAAATACCCAGACTTTTTCTAAGAGTATACTTCAGAAAAATTGATCCTGTTGTAGTGTTAAGTGGTTAATTTAATGTATACATATCATCTGGTACTACAAGTTTTAAATCCTTTGAATATGGGTCCAGACACAGTTTAAATAAATTATTTTTAAGTATAAATCTTGAAGTGTTTACATTTATAAAAGAAAAACATAAAAATTACTTTTGAAGATTCTGATGAACCCCAGAGTTACTGTGATACACGCCGATACCTTTATTCCCTTCAGAACTCAAAACTTAAAATAGACCAGGAGGCTCTTGGGCCAAATCCGTAGCCTCAGACACAGGTGTGATACAGAATCAAGGTGTTATCAAACAGAATGCTGACATCTAAGAGAAAGATTGGTCTTTTCCATCTTCTCTTCCATGACGTTAGCAAACACCAACACGGACTGTGTAACACAAGAAGAGTACTGAATGGAAGTTGTATCTTTGTGTATCCAGTATTTCTAATATTAAGCTTATTGCAGAACTCCCACTCAACTCATCAGGGAAAGCTTATATTTGCACTGCTTATTAGAACACATCAAAGAGGGTGCCAAAGCTGCTAATTGCAAATATGGCATATACTGCCTGTTAAACGGAAAGCACACAGACAGACACAACTTTTAAAATAGAGCCTCATTTCGTTTTGGATACAGAAGCTCAAAGAACTCATTTTCAATTTCAGATGAAAAAAACGAGAGAAATGTCACTGTACTGCCTTGGATTAAAATACCTTCCATATTGCTTTTATAAACTGGTGCCTACTGCTCAGTAAGAGAAGCACAGTGCTGAAAAAAAACTACTGCAAGACACCAGACCAGCAAAAATCACTCTGCATCTCATTTTCATGAGAAATACCTTTTAAAAAATATTTACTCATATGCATGTTAATATTTATCATGTTTATTAATATACCACCTAAACCTGCTACTCTGTTGGATGCTGTACCAAGAGATGGAAACAGCCTCTGTATTAGACATTCCACATGAAAACACCTTTTTTTCTTTCTGAAGACATTAAACACATATAACTTCCAGAAAACCTTCCAAGTTTGTGGCAGAACACTGAAGTGCCACAGATCACACCACATCGCATCACATCGCATCGCATCACATCACAGCTTACTGAGCTGCTTCGGCTGGCAAGAATGGCCCTGCCCAGGTTTCGCACTAGACAGCCCAGAGGGACTCTTACATCAGAAACTAACTTGGTCCAGATCCTGAAGGTTCTGCTTCCTTGGGAATTCCACAGATGAGACCCAGAACATACATCCAAGTTCTCAGAAACTTTCACCATACAACATGATATGCACTTATTACATATGGATTGCTGCTCAACTGAGGAGTATTTTTATTTGTCGTTTTGCATGTTTTATTTGCAACAAACGCTATCTCTTTCACCCACATCACTTCATTTCCAATGGCCACATTCCAGGAGCAAGAAAATACCCAGTAATTTTATATTCAAAGTATAAACCGTTGGTTTAGCTGCCAGCTGCACAAATGCTCAACTTCCCTGTGTGCCTGGATATGCTGCTCAAGACTCCTCCAGTATGCACTGAAATGAATGTGTTTCTAATTAAGTAGTTGCATGAACACGACAGCTTCAATCTCAAAAATACAAAGTCTGAACCTCGGCAGGAAGTCTTAAGCCTGCAAATGTCTCATCTAGTGGAACCTTGGCTAATGTAATGAAAGGAAGCAGGAAGAGTGCAGTATTCCAGAAACCCAGCCATTTATTAACGTGTCCAAAAGCAGAGCCTGTCACCAAGCATAGGAAAATCTGAACCTGTAAAAGTTTAATTAACTGTATCTTGTCCATCTTTCAATCCTTCAGTTTATCAACAAAAGATCAATAAGGATGCCAAAACCCTTAAAACCACGCACCCCCAGTAAAATTTAAAGGAATTACAGGAAAGGTACAGCTTAAGATCAGTGGATTAGCTTTGGATGCACTGAATCCTCTTTTCAATTTTCTAGTGGAAGCCATTACATGTAAAGGCAATCCAGCATATAAAAATATTACAGGGATTGCATAAAGGCTACAGTAACGTGACTTTTAGCAGTGTTTTGAAAGCTGCTACTTCTTTAAACTTCTATTTCTGAACATTAAAGGAGCCAGTCAGGTGCTTAATGGGCTGTACAATGCACACACTTGGACAGGCAGGAGGAAGTGGGAGGAACAATTTGATACTATAGAACTACGAAGAGCAGGTTTAGCATACCCACTGATAGAAAAAAAAATAGCTCAGGTTTTGCTGATCAATATGAAAAAGGAAACTTTGAAGCAGTAATTTGTTAAAGTATAACGTGCTAGCTTTGCAAATAGGTGGTTTTTGTGGTAGTTTTATGAATAATTGCAGATATTTCCGCTAGGGAACAAGGTAGAGCACGAAAGATGATATCGGGTAGTTCTTTGAGAAACATTTGGATCATGGGCACTGGGACATGGCACTGGCGCACAGAACAACAAGCAGACACGGTACACGCTACGAAGGGTTCAGGAAGATGAATACCATGACTGACAGAGAAGCTGGGGAAAGTGGAAGGTAAATGATACAGGTTGATAAAACCATACAAAAATAATTCCTGAAAGAACTTTTTCAGCACATACGAACAATTGCTTGGCTTACAGAAGTCAGAGGGAAAACACCGAATGGTCAGAGCTTGGGCAAAGATGCCTGGAGCTATAGAGATGAATGAGAAAGGACACATTTCAGACATGAAGCAGAAGAAACACCCACCATTTAGCACTGGGTTAGATCTGAAGACTAACAAAGAATTTCCCAAGTTATGGGAATATATGAAAAGAAATTAACTCAGTTTTATCCACAAAAGCCATTGCTTGTAATGACTGAAAGGCACCAAGAGGAATGCCAAGAGGAAGCATTGACAAACATCCTCCCGGAGAACCAAGGAAAACAAGTGCAGGTTGTAGTCTGTGTGAAGGGTGGCAGGCGTGGAGAAAAGCAGATCTGTGATGCGTCCATGGAGCACTTGTTTTTGAAGGTGCATTTGTGTGAAATTTGTTTATTCAAAACTGCTTTAAAATAACCATTACTGTTCAACATAAAAAGTGGACCTTAAAGTGTTTTCTCCATGAATAACAAATACCAAATTATATGAACACCTATTTTATCAAAATTCATTTTGCTTGTCAGAACTAACACTATTGTTCAATGACACATGAACAGCAAAGCAAAAACAAAGATATTTTAAGGATAACTCACTGTGATAGCTCCTTGTACTCCCAAAAGTTTAACCAAGCAAACATCATAAATAACCTCAATAAAATATATTTCTAGTAAAGAACATAAATATTTCTAATAAAATCTACCAGAGAGATTATATTCTTCTGTCATCACTCATCAATCTGACTGAAAAGGAAACACACCTACAAGTAAATGTTGACGGTTCATGTCAGGCTTCATAAATTGCCTTTAATCAGCATTTTTCTCTACCATGTGTTAATCATATGCCATTACTTAAAGAGTCGGCCACCATCCTGCACAAGGAACACCGTGCGCCTGCTCTCCCCATTCAGAGCACACCATAATAGTTCTTCCTAACTCCCATTCAGGTCCTGAGACATGAAATGCTCAAGCAGTTTTTAATATTTTATCAGTTTAGATGTGTGTTTCCAAGACTTTCAAGTGAACTTCAGAAAGACACATCCCCTGTATAAACAGAGAAACACTCTGCACAACCTTTAATCCTTCTGGGACCCACGACAGATTAAAGACTGCCCTTCAGACCAGTCTTTACCTACCACTTGACACTTTATCAGTCCTGGGGCTTCTTACAACCACAGCTACTAATTACTCAAAGTTGTTTGATGGCAGCCAATATCCATTAAGTGCAAAATTAAGAAGTATCAATTTCTACTGTGCATATTTACTGCTTAAACAAAACGCCTAAGTCTTTCGGAACAAAGAGAAAGATTATTGCTCCTCTTGTGCTAGGCTGGTTCCCAATGCAATCAGCATTATTTATAATCAAATGAGTTATATAGGTAAATATCAAATCATTAAAGTAGCAATGCATAAGCATGAATATGGATATTGTGGACTTAATGGCTACATATTGCCCATTTATTACAGTTGGATTTTTACAATTTCTTTAATTCGTTTCCTTAGGCTAACTAGAGACCTCTTAATTATGCTCCCAAGAGGTGGGCAACTGCTAATTGGAAGAGAAGCAGGTGAAATAGAGGGACATTTCCTCTTAAGTGAAAAAAACCCCATGCTTAAAAAATACTGCAATTCACCAGAAAAAGTAATGTAAAACCCAAGGATCTCAAAAAGGTTGATAGTTTACAGCTACACAGGGATTCCTACCATTTTGCTTCATTGTTCCAGGAAAATTGTTCATGTCTTGATACACAAATACTGACTCAATGTGTCGTGCTCTCACACCAGCAGTACTTTACACTCGAAGGTAGTCTCCTGGTTTCTCTTCAGATTGCTCATTGAAATGCAACAGAATTCAATCCGAAATTTATTGGGGTAATTGATGCAAATTAGAAACTTGACTGCATAAATTGGAACGATGCAGAAAACACACAGCTAAGGAACCAGAAGAGCAACTACAAGAGCTTTTAGTAAGTACACAGATGTACCAGGCTAAATCAAAATGCCTACCAAGAGGCTCATGACGAAGGAATCATTGTTTCCCGAGCAGCAGGAGTACTCACCCTCCGGTTACCCCCTCCACCTACTTAAAGGAGCATATTGAACTATATGCAGATTCAGAAAACAGGCGAAAGGGAGTTAAAAAAACTCCTGGAGAAAGGGAAAACTGCACCAATAGGAACATTTGTTTAGCAGCTGTGCCAGGGTGCTCTAAGAAGGTGGCTCTCAGAATCTATTAATGTTGGCTGCTAAGCAGTCTGTCTAATATAAAAGACTCTTTTAATCACCCTAGAAAATATACTGTTGCTTCTGGTAAAAGCCCACAGAATAACCTGAGTGACAACGCTCTGGGACTTAGAGAACATACTAAGCTGTGTTATCAGGTCAGCAAAGACAGGCTTTTCTTACAGGCTAATTTTAAATACAGACACTGAGAGCAAAAAGGAAGAAAACAGACACAGTGGGAGTGTTTTCATGCCACGTGAAAAACAAACTGGAAGAAGTAGGGAGGAAAATTAATAGACTGTTTCTATTAACAGACATCAAGAAATGTTGAAATTCCCAACAACTAAATAGATAGACAAGATCTGGCCAAATTTAAGTAGTTGTATGTGCTTGGCTACTGATGCTTGGTGGCAGTATCTCATTAACCAGTACTTTTGGCAACTGCTGGCATATACTTTAAAAAAACCCAACACAAAAAACCAAACAGCAGTGCTTCATATGTTTCCTCTGTTGTTCTGTATTCAAAGGAACAAGCAATTGTGCATTAAGGGTGAAATCTAATGATAGGATTCCCACCAATTTCTAGTCTTCTCCACCCAAAATCTTTGACTGGGCTGAAAAATATATCAAAGAGTGGTACCTAATTAAAAAATAAAAATAAAGGATAGCACTCTTCCCCTTGCTTCCTCTCCCCATCCCCCCTCAATTAATCAAAATGATAGGGATCAGATGACTGAAGTCATTCCAGATACACTTACATGGTACTACACCACTATTATTGGCTCAGCATCCCTAGTACAAAGAGCAAGTGTATCGAGAACAAACATTTTGCAGATACAGGCTTTTGGCATTTTCAATTCTGTGGGTAGGTACATGAATGAGGAATGCAGGTGAACATAAAGTTTAAAAAAAATCCTTTCAGGAGGGAAATGGGAAGAAAATTACCCCTCTTCTGCATTAGGTGTTGAAAAAATTAGCAAAGAGTAAACTGAAAAAAATGAGAAACCACAGTGTTTTGGTGTAAAATGTCAATAAGGGACAAAGTGTGATAGAAAAAACTTGAGCTTTAACAGCATTAGTGAAATGGATTCATATTGAGCACGTTTGTGGTAGAGTTGCAATTCACTTGTAACAACATCAAACCACCCACCTTTTCCTGCCTCGCTTGGGAAAGCGCACTTCTCTCAACTGCTAAAGGGAACTCTCCACACCAAGCCTGGAGTTTCACTTTACATGAAGTTGGCCAAAAGGATCTTCGAGTGGCAGGAGGAGAGTTAGTCATTATACCCGCTCGCTCTTTGCAAAGAGAGCTATTCTACCTGTTTGCAGCTCTGGAAAGATCCAACAGGTGTTGCGTCCTCTTTCC